TAGGTGCTTAAGATAGTACAGTATGAAATACCATGAATAAGCGTAGGATGATAAAAGGAGCAAGTCGGTTGTGGTGTGCCGAAACCGACGATGAGGTAGGCCTGAGAAAGAAGAGGGCCCACCCAGGAAAAGAAATAGAAAGGGAAATAAATGTTAAAAGTGGTGTGGTGGGAGGGTCATTCAACGCTGACCTCGAACGGTAAGGAGCCAGGCAAGGGGAGTGCCTTAAGTAGGCTAGGGGGTAGCAAACCAGCACCTCCCACAAATGCAGGCAAATTGCCTTAATACTTGTGTTAGGTGCTTAAGATAGTACAGTGTGAAATACCATGAATAAGCGTAGGATAATAAAAAGGAGCAAGTCGGTTGTGGTGTGCCGAAACCGACGATGAGGTAGGCCTGAGAAAGAAGAGGGCCTACCCAGGAAAAGAAAATAGAAAGGAAATAAATGTTAAAAGTGGTGTGGTGGGAGGGTCATTCAACGCTGACCTCGAACAGTAAGGAGCAAGGTAAGGGGAGTGCCTTAAGTAGGCTAGAGGTAGCAAACCAGCACCTCCCACAAATGCAGGCAAATTGCCTTAATACTTGTGTTAGGTGCTTAAGATAGTACAGTATGAAATACCATGAATAAGCGTAGGATGATAAAAGGAGCAAGTCGGTTGTGGTGTGCCGAAACCGACGATGAGGTAGGCCTGAGAAAGAAGAGGGCAAAAATTAAGTAATCAAATTTATTAACAGACAACCAATACATATACATTTATCAACCAGACATGTTTATGAAAGCATCCCTTAATTCTTGTACTGGGTTCGGTATGTACCGTGAGTAAGCGGATGACTTCCAGCGCCCCAGTGTTTTGATAACATGAGTTGGGATGTTGACACTGGAGGCTGTGGACGCGGCTCCTATACGAAAGGAGTGTCCTGAGTATTTGTTTGCGTTGAGGCCCAGTTGTGTGAGCAAGGACCTGACGTAGGTCATGAAGGTTGTAGTGGTGAGTACTGCACCTTGTAGTTGTAATAACGGTTGCGAGGGCAGTAAGTGATGGTGCTGTATGTAGGCATCAAGAACTTTAACGGGACACCATCTGTTGTGCGTGGGGTAGTACGGAATGTTTACAGGTATGTGCTGGCTGGTTTTGGAGTGAGGTAAAGACAGGATGTAATGATCCATATGTTTTGTCAAGTGGGAATAGAGGAGGAATGGAGTGGTTTGGGGCGTGGAGGTCGTAGTGAATTCTCTGGGTCGTAGAAATCCATAGAAAGCGATGTATATTGCTGTTGATGATAGAATTCGTATTAGTGTCAAACTGTTTTAGGTCAAGTAGGTTAGATAATGCTTTGAAGATATGGTTATCTATGGGTAGCCTCTGGGCCAAATGTGTG